CTCTGGCTCTTGCTTATCTGTAGGGTTTCATCTTTAGTGTTATCTCCTGGCATCCCAAGAGTACTACACCCACTGTACTTTCTCACAGTGCCTTTTCCACATTTCTCCCAGAGTTATGTCAAGTTACCGATTCACGTAACTCCCAGCACTGCTTGTGTGTCTTCTTTCTGTAAAGCTTCAATGCCAAATGTTCTAAATATGTTTTCATTGTGGTAATTTTGGTGCCCAGCCTTTTGCCTGGCACATGGCAGGTGTGCACATATGAAGGGGCTTCAGAAAGTTTGTGGATAAATGTAATTAAAAGACCATGGAGTTTTCCCACGAACTTTCTGAAGCCACCTCATTATTTAGTGTGTGGACTACTCATTTCCACAGTAACCAACTCACTGCCTTTGAGTCAGTGCTGGCTCACAGCGATCCCCCGCAGGTGTCCGAGACTAACTGTTTACTGGAGCAGAAAGCCCAGTCTTTTTCCCTCGGAACTGCTGGTGGTTTCAAAGCGCTGACCATGTGGATTGCAGCCCAATGCATAACATTTCTTTAAGACAATCTTAGTATGCAGAGTATCAATTGAAGTAACTGCTGACTGTTGAGTAACAAAACCTGTTTAAGGCGTGACCAAGCTGGCTATTATTTCTTAGCACTGGTACAGGTGAAGTTAGTCAAATACAGGAAACAGGTTAAAGCAGTAAGGTAGGCCTTGAGCCTTTTAGTCATGTAGTTTGGAGAAGGTCATGTTGGGAAACTGAGACCGCTCGCGGTGTAGCTATGGCTGTGCCGCGCGGCGGTGGTGTCTGGGACAGAATGTGTCCACACAGCCACATACAAATGTCGAGATGGCCTGGGGGTGAGCGTGTGTGGTGACACTAGCCGGGTTTCTGCCCATAGGCCCCTTGCCTACAGCACCCTGGCTGACCTGGTCCACCACGTGCGTCAGCACCTGCCCCTCGGAGACCTCTCCCTTGCGGTTCAGCTCTTCGCCAAGAACATCGACGACGAGTCCCTGCCCAGTAGCATCCAGACCATGTCCTGCAAACTCCTCCTGAACCTGGTGGACTGCATCCGCTCCAAGAGCGAGCAGGAGAGCGGCAACGGGAGGGATGTCCTGATGCGGATGCTCGAGGTACCGGCTCCCCAGCACCCCACCTCCGTCCAGCTGGAGATGCACCCACTATTCTGTGCCTGGCTAGTTTGCGAGTGACCGTGGAAGTGCAGCAATAGTGATTTTGAGATTATAGGTAGATTTCAGCTAATAGACAAATTAATGGCGTATCTGCAAAGAAAGAGGATTTGACTCTGCACTTGACTGGCAGGCTTGTGAAGAGGCAGGCCCCACTGGTGAGCTGTAGGTGTTAGGCCTCCTGGCTCCTCCCACCAACTGACCTAGTGTCCTGAAACGAGAAATTTAATTTTCTGTGCCAGTTTCTCCAAGTGATGATCACAGTGCCTGTCCCACAGATGGTGGAAAGGTAAAATCGCACACAAGCACTCTTCTACTGTTCTGGGAAGTGATGGGAAGCAGTACTTCCCAGGGACCCAGCAGCAAAATGCTCAATGAGCTCTGACTTTCTGGAGAGAGATTGGTGTAGGGGTGGGGGTGGGTGTGGAGGGTCCTACAGTCTGAGATCAAATCCCAGCTCTGCCCCTCGGAGTCACTTGGTGTTGGTGAGCCATGTTCTAATCCTGCACAGCGGGGAGAGTGTTGCTTGGTGGGAAACAAGATCCACTTTCCTCTTCCATCTGGCACAGAGGAGAGGTGCTCAGCAGTGTTGGGAGTTCTGGGGGGGGGTCTCTGGGAGGTGAGGTGTGGAGCGGCTGTCTGGCCTGTAGGAGAGGACCTTCGGTCTTCACCTTCTGCCTCCTCTTCATGCTAGGTGTTTGTTCTCAAGTTCCACACCATCGCTCGCTACCAGCTCTCTGCCATTTTTAAGAAGTGCAAACCCCAGTCGGAACTTGGGGCCGTGGAAGCCACGCTGCCTGGGGTGCCCAATGCCCCTGCTGCGCCTGGCCCAGCTCCCTCCCCGGCCCCTGTGCCCACCCCTGCCCCACCCCCTCCCCCACCTCCAACCCCAGCTACACCTGTGACTCCCGCACCAGTGCCTCCCTTTGAGAAGCAAGGAGAAAAGGACAAGGAAGACAAACAGACCTTCCAAGTCACAGACTGCCGAAGCCTGGTGAAAACCCTGGTCTGTGGCGTCAAGACCATCACGTGGGGGATAACATCGTGCAAAGCACCTGGTGGTAATTCTGCTCTCTGATTACTGGACACACGTTCCCAGTAGAACAGATCAAGTTGTGTTTGCATTTGTTTAATATGTGATCTCTGTTCCAGAAGCTCAGTTCATTCCCAACAAGCAGCTGCAGCCCAAAGAGACTCAGATTTACATAAAGCTCGTGAAGTACGCAATGCAGGCGCTAGACATCTATCAGGTAAGGCAGTGCCTCTCAGAGTTAGAGATGCTCTTCGTGGGATGGGAGCCCTGGTGGTGAAGCGGGGTTTACACACTGAGCTGTTACAACTGCAAGGTCAGTAGCTCAAACCCACCAGCCATTCCGCTGGAGAAGTAGGAGGCTGTCTATACCGGGAAAGATGTAGTTTTGTAAATCCAGAGGGGCAGTTGCCTTACAGGGTCCCTCTGAATCAGTCTGCTTGATGTCCATGAGGTTGGTTTTTTGAGTGAAGAGATGGGTCTGGCGAGACTGGCTCTCCTCTGACTTAGAGAAGTGGCCCAGTGCTGGGTGCCCAGGTTTTCTTCTGTTCTTGTTTAAAGAGAGAGTTTGTAGTTTCAGGAAAAAGAGGTGTGATATAAATGGAATACAAGGAGTTAAGATGTTTAAGGTTGAAAACTTGTTCCAAACAACATATAGAAGTTGTTTTTTCAACCCTTGGAAGAATTATGAAGAACAAAAGCCTTTGACATTTAGTCAGTTCTGAGAGACTGGAGAGTGTTGGGGTGGGCAGGGATATGTATTATCTAACTCAAGTGCCATTTTGCATATGGGACTGACATTATGTTGTGGAAGTTTTCCAGAGAAGTTTGCTGTAGATAGCGGTGTGTTCTCCCCTCTTCCTCCGGCAGGTCCAGATTGCAGGCAATGGACAGACATACATTCGCGTTGCAAACTGCCAGACGGTTAGAATGAAGGAAGAGAAGGAAGTTCTGGAACACTTTGCCGGCGTGTTCACCATGATGAACCCCTTGACGTTCAAAGAGATCTTTCAAACCACAGTCCCTTATATGGTGGAAAGGATCTCGAAAAACTACGCCCTTCAGGTAGAACGCGTCCTTACCTTCTGAATGTTAACAGGACGTCTCACATGAGAGCCACTGTGTGCCATGTACTTGTGGAGATATTTGTAGAGCAAGATGTAAGCACTGTTCAAAACAGAATTCAGAAGATCATGAGGCGTCTTCGGGCAGGAGAAATGGTGTGTGAAATACAGGCGCTAGGATGATGTACTGGGTTAATAAGCACATGAAACAAATGCTCCCCTTGGTGCTCAGTAAACGTTCATTGCCCCCAAGTGCGGTGGGTAGCTTGGTGGGTCAGGACCCAGTTTAAAGTCAGGTTTTCAGACAAGCTCACGTCTTTGTCTCCAGTTGCTCTGGGGAAGGGCTTGTGGTGACGCTGCCTTTCTTATCTTGACAGATTGTTGCCAATTCCTTCTTGGCAAATCCTAGTACCTCTGCTCTGTTTGCGACCATTCTAGTGGAGTATCTCCTTGACCGTTTGCCAGAAATGGGCTCCAACGTGGAGCTCTCCAACCTTTACCTCAAGTTGTTTAAGTTGGTCTTCGGCTCCGTCTCCCTCTTTGCAGCGGAAAACGAGCAGATGCTGAAGGTAAAGCTCGCTGGCACCCGCGGGTGCCTGGTACTGTTGAGCCAATTCCAGCTCACAGCAGCAGCCCCCCTGCGAGGGGACTGTTCTTCCCGTGGAGGGAGGCGGGGGTGGGTGGCGCTTTGGGGTTGGTTCATCTTGTTTCCACTTTTGAGCAGAATCCAAAACGTTGTTCTGTGTTTTCAAAGACCTCCTTGAGTTAACATACATTTGCAGCCAACAGGGCAAGCATGGAAGACATTTTGTGGGTTTCTAAGCGACTGACGCTGAACCCCTGTCCCCGCCAACCCACCTTTCAGCATTAGGAACAGTGTGGGTAGTGGCTCCTCTTGCCATCGCTGACCTTTGTTTTCTAAATGCAAAAACATTGATTTAATCGAATTAAACATTTAGGAGCCACACCCTCCCTATTACCAAAACCAAGCCAAACCTAAGTGATGCAAAAGAGTGAGGAAGACTGAGTATTGCTCGCACACCTGGCTGGCTAATAGCGCTCCTCCCTCAGCTGTCTGACCTCCCCTCCGAGCCTCACATCAGGCTGCGGAATGGAGGGTTGGCCGCTTGCACTGGCCAGCTGCTCCCTGTGAGACAGGTGTGGCAGTCTGTTCCTGTCCCAAACCTCAGCCTCAGAACCCCTAGAGAGCCTCTGAGTCAGAGTCTGCCGTGCCCCCCTGAGGCATTTCTCTGTCCTGGGGGTGGGGGCGGGGGGTGGGAAGTGTGACACATCGGAATCCACTGGGCAGCAGCAGGTGGTGGTTCTGTTTTGTGTATCACCTGTCCTCTCTCCTCACGCAGCCTCACCTGCACAAGATTGTGAACAGTTCGATGGAGCTCGCACAGACTGCCAAGGAGCCCTACAACTACTTCCTGTTGCTCCGGGCGCTGTTCCGCTCCATTGGGGGAGGAAGCCACGACCTCCTCTATCAGGAGTTCCTACCTCTCCTTCCAAACCTCCTCCAAGGTTAGGGCAGTGACTGAGACTCTTGGCGGGGGCGGAGGGGGCAGGCAATGGGGTGGTAACTGGGGAATCCATGTTCAGGCTTAGGCTCATCCTGAGAGTTGCTTGGATGGTGCAAGGCGTCAGTTACCCTGTGGGTGAGATGCAGCTGACAGGCGTGTCCTGCTTCCTTGGAGTTGTTCTTGGGCTTTATCCTCTCCCTGACATGCTGAAGCCCCCCGCTCCCCTCCCCTGCAGGACTGAACATGCTGCAGAGTGGCCTGCACAAGCAGCACATGAAGGACCTCTTCGTGGAGCTGTGCCTCACAGTGCCCGTGCGCCTGAGCTCGCTCCTGCCCTACCTGCCCATGCTGATGGACCCCTTGGTGTCAGCGCTCAATGGCTCGCAGACCCTGGTCAGCCAGGGCCTCAGGACCCTGGAGTTGTGTGTGGACAACTTGCAGCCGGATTTCCTCTATGACCACATTCAGCCGGTGCGCGCTGAGCTTATGCAGGTCAGTCATCAGACCAGCTGGCGCTACCGTCCTCCCCACAGTGCCGGGCTGCCCTGGTGCGTGCAAGCTGTAGAGTGGTTGGGACCTGGGACCCCACTCTGTGAAGTGTGCAGACTTGTGAAAAGATGCCAAGACAACCTTTTCAGTGGGTGTCTGGTTTGCAGTGTTGCCCTCTCTCCGAGGCCTTCACCAGTTAGCCTCAGTAAGTTCATGGCTTAGGAAGACAAGAGTTAGAACACTGGAACTTCCTGTTGGGGAAGTGTGGGTTAGCCGTGTGAACGCACCACGTGCCCCGGAGGAGGCTCAGTGAAAGCGTGTTGGTTTCCAGGCCCTCTGGCGCACGCTGCGCAACCCTGCGGACAGCATCTCGCACGTGGCCTACCGTGTCCTCGGCAAGTTCGGCGGCAGCAACAGGAAGATGTTGAAAGAGTCCCAGAAGCTGCACTATGTGATGACTGAAGTCCAGGGGCCCAGTATCACCGTGGAGTTCTCTGACTGTAAAGCTTCCCTTCAGCTCCCAATGGAGAAGGTACGTTTGGAAGTCTCCGGGAGCTGCATAAGAAACACTGCCCATTGCCAGTTAGGAAGGTGAACGTCTGTTTAGAAATTGGCGTGATATTAGGATAAGGCTGTGTCTTTAAGGAGGAATTTCAAACTCAAAAGTAAAACAAGATTTATGGGTCTTAGTCTGGTTCCTGAGGGGCTTTTGTAGTACCTCCAGGAGGCAAGTGGGGTGCTGTCCTCAAGAACCTTGGCCCCTTCAACCAGTTCCATCTGTTCTGCTGGGTCCAGGAGTTGTCACTCAGTCCTCCCCTTTGGCTTTGAAGCCCCGCCCCCCAAGCTCTTTCAGGGTCATTCAAAGTCCCATGGTCCGTCCACACCATCCCTTATCCCTTCCCCCAGATTCCCCCAGAACCTACTTTTCTTATCTTTTTTTTACAATTTTTTAAAAAATTTTAAATCATTTTATTGGGGGCTCATACAACTCTTATCACAATCCATACACACATCAATTGCGTAAAGCACATTTATACATTCGTTGCCCTCATCATTCTCAACACATTTTCTCTCCACTTAAACCCCCGGCATTAGGTCCTCATTTTTCTACTTTTCTTACTATGTTTCCAATCTGTATACATTTTTCTTTTTCTCTTTCCTACTTGATTGTTTCAGTCAGAACTTCTAAATGCCACTTGATCATGGTGTATATATAATTTACATTAAGGTTAATAGGTTCGCTGTGGAAGAGTTCGTGGGTTTTTATTGTAGTCTCCCCCACGCCGAAAATGCCTAATTGCAGTGACTAAAATGAGCACGAGGATGTGTGCGTAGCTGTGCTGATTTTTGAGGGGAAAGGAAAACAATGCCGACCTTTCTAGTAAGAGCTCCGGAAAACCAGGTGCTTTGGGGACGTGCTCAGGAGTGGACGGGGGACTCCCCTCCCTGTGTCCGAGGGCCGTGTCAGGACTTAGGAGTCTGTGGCCAGTAGAAGAGTCCTTGCTCTTCTCTCTCATTAGGGCCTGAATGCTCGTGGGTAGATGGTGTGGTCTCTGTTTGAATCCAGCCCATGGAAGATTGATGATAGCCCCCCCCCACACACACACACACACCTGCAGTAGAAAAATCTTTTCTACCACAAGAGACCTTCTGAGTTTGTTTAATTTCCGTACTCTCCCATGGGCAGCTGTGGCACACAGGCACTTAGTTCCTTTGTGCATGTAGCCTGAACGTGGTGTTCTTTGCATGCCAGTAAGCCTAGCTCTCAGACGTGTCTCCTGGAGACTCCTCTGCTGGGGAAGCTCTGCATTGCTCTCAACAGGGCGGGGGAGGTACTGCAGATATTTTCAGTACCGGCACCTCAAAATCCTGAAATGCCATTAAAAACTCTAGTTTCCGTGTTTGCCCTCTGCTCTTTGTTGCAGGCCATTGAAACTGCTCTGGACTGCCTGAAAAGTGCCAACACGGAGCCCTACTACCGGCGGCAGGCCTGGGAGGTGATCAAGTGCTTCCTGGTGGCCATGATGAGCCTGGAGGACAACAAGCATGCCCTCTACCAGCTCCTTGCCCACCCCAAGTACGTGCTTCTGAGGGTGTCTGCAGTTGAGACTGGAGGCAGAGGTGATACTTGAACTCCCCAGAACTAAAGAAAGAGTAATTTAAACAGTGTAGATACCAACTGCTCATTGAGTCCCAAGTAGTAAATACAAAGGATTGTACACGTAGACACATTCTAATGCGATGGCTAGGGAGCTGACCGGGAACATCGTCAAAAGTGCCCCACCCCCACAACATTAACAACAAAAGACCCGCTGGGCTGTGGAGGAGACCAGATGAGAAGGAAAACATGGGCCAGCTGAGAGCCGTAGCTGTGGAGACCGGGTGACTCAGGAATGAGTGCGGATGTGCTGTGAAGAGTAGACCTTCGGGACAGGGACAGCAGGGTGGTGGGACCCTTTTCTGAGCAGGTGACACAGTGATGAAAACCAGGGCCCTCTGAGCAGAAAGGACTCATTGCGGGTGACCCCGCGTGCAGCGGAAGGGAGCTGTGCTCCAGACTCTCAGTGGCTGGTTTTCAGAAGCAAGTCACTTCCCTCCAAGGTGCCTCCAGGTAGACTCATACCTCCAACCCTTCGGTTAGCTGCCAAGCACCCCCAGCGACTCTGGCCTCATGTACTAAACCCCCAAATCCAAAGCCCACTGCCACTGAGTGGATTCTGACTCCTAGTGACCCCAGGTAGGGGCTCAGAGGCTGTACGTCTTGAAGGAGCAGAGCCACCCGGTCTTCCTTGGAGCATCCTGAGCCGCACGCCAGGGCTCCAACTGGGAGAGACTGGGAGATGTTGGGAAATGCTTTCAGTTTCCTTCTTAGGCCCATTTGAGTCTGGGACCTCGGTGTGGTTTTCAGTGTCCACCCTTCATCGAGTTACCTTTAAGTCATAGCTCTTTTCGGACACGTTTGAAAGGGAGTTTGAATTACTCTGTGAGGCTTGGCTTCTTTAATCTTAGAAGACCAAAATCATACATCAACTTTCTCAGCATTGACACTCACTAGTAAGAGTGTTGAAGGTGCAGCTGTTCCAGACTTCACCGGTGTGCGTCCTTGCCTGAGCTCATGTGGGTCAGAAGCAATTTGGGCTCTTGAACCACTGGCTGCAAATGTCATGTCCGACACTAGGTCTTGCTGAAATTAAAGCAGAGACATTAACTGGCTCGGGCTGGTCTAGACAATGGAGAAGTAGGCAGGTTGAAAAATATATAAATGATAAGTCATGGTTTCGGGTTACGATGGTGGATTGGACTTTTCTGTCTTCCAGCTTTACAGAAAAGACCATACCCAGTGTCATCATTTCCCATCGGTATAAAGCACAAGACACTCCGGCCCGGAAAACCTTTGAGCAGGCTCTGACTGGGGCCTTCATGTCTGCTGTCATCAAGGACCTCCGGCCCAGTGCCCTGCCATTTGTAGCCAGCCTGATCCGCCACTACACTATGGTGGCTGTGGCCCAGCAGTGTGGTGAGTACAGGGGGGCTGTTTGGCAGAGTTGGGATTGTGCGACTTCTCTATGGGGATCAGGAATTGTGCTTTTCTTCAAAGAAGCAGACTCTGGGCTTGAACACTCACCAGTATGCTCTTTAACCTGGGTTGCGTCTCCATGCTCCTTCTGCGGTAGCAGTGGCTTGCCAGCCAGACTGAGCGGCTCCCCAGCTACCTGGTGCTGGGTCCTCGTGAGCCAGCAAGCCATTGTTTCCTCTGCCAGAGTCCGCACGTGTCCTTGTGACTCTGCTTTGCCGGTGGGCCCGCTGAGTGGTGTTTGCTCACAGGAGCCCTCTTTCACCCTCTTTCACGGTTCCCGTTTCTAGCAGATGACAGTTCTCAGTGCTGACTGAGAATATCCAAGAGTAAGACGGGGTTAAATGGGAAGCGCTCATAAAACGTAGCATCATTGCACACCAGCTACTCAGTTTGCAGTAGCTGCAGTCTGTCAAAGGTCGGTCAGGACTGGTTTGGGCCCTTATGAAGGCCTTGACCTCAGAAACAGAGTCAGGTGGGTTGAGGTCCAGGCTATCGTGTGAGTGAGGTCCATGCCCACCCTCTCATTCCACCACTTCTCCTTCAGGCCCCTTCTTGCTGCCCTGCTACCAGGTGGGCAGCCAGCCCAGCACGGCCATGTTTCATAGCGAGGAAAACGGGTCCAAAGGCATGGACCCCCTGGTTCTCATCGACGCCATCGCTATTTGCATGGCCTACGAAGAGAAGGAACTATGCAAAATCGGGGAGGTGGCCCTAGCCGTGATATTTGACGTCGCCAGCATCATCCTGGGCTCCAAGGAGAGGGTAAGACTACCCGCGGGCTGCTCCTTCTGGGGGTGTGCGGTGGGTGTCCCCATCGGCGCACGGCAGTCTGTTGCCTGTGTCCCCCAGGCGTGCCAGCTGCCCCTCTTCTCCTACATCGTGGAGCGCCTGTGTGCCTGCTGCTACGAGCAGGCCTGGTACGCCAAGCTGGGCGGCGTGGTGTCCATCAAGTTCCTCATGGAGCGGCTGCCGCTCACGTGGGTGCTGCAGAACCAGCAGACCTTCCTCAAAGCGCTGCTCTTTGTCATGATGGACCTGACTGGCGAGGTAGGTGACAGGCGGCACAGCGTTGAGTGCTGGCACGGCACCCAGGCCTTTGAGCCTCTGTGCTGGGGTTTGTGTGAGGAAAACGGCTTATTCAAAGAGTTAGTGAAGTCATGCGAGTGGTCGGTCACCTGCATGGCCTAATCGTGATCTCTTGAACGTGCGCTATGTAACTGGTTTTTGCTGGAAGAGCGTTTGAGCTTCTTTCCCCTCACCATACCTCCCAACCTGAATGTGCCCTTTTCAAGACGCTCACTCGCGTGTCTGCCCCGTTTCCTGACAGCAGAGAAGCCCTATAATGGGCTTGCTGCCGCCTCGCATAGCTGTGGCTTCCTCACCCACCTGCACTTGCATGTGGGTAGAAATGGTACCAGGAGAACGTACTGGGGACAGCCCCTTAATTGCTTGCACACGAAACGGTCACATGCCAATCTGGACACACTGTGACTAGGCGTGCCGACAGCGTGTTCTGCTTTGTAAACGTTTTCAAATTTTTGGGAGGTGGATTCACACCACCGACCTCTTGGCCTATACCTGAGCATGTGAATCACTTGCACCCCTCAGACCCCAAGGCTCAAGTTGAAGTCCCCATTTGCTTTCTGAGTATCAGGCAAGTTCCCTGTAAGAGGGTGATTTATTTACTGAAGCATCAAGGGGGCTTTGTGAAGCCACTTTGTTAAATCCAATCATGTGAGGGCCGTGGCCCGGAGCCAGCATGCTCACAGATCCCGATGTGGGCTGCATGGAACACCTGCCAACTAACTTTCACCTGGTCCTTAACTGTCAGGTTTCCAACGGTGCTGTTGCCATGGCGAAGACCACCCTGGAGCAGCTCCTGATGAGGTGTGCGGCACCCTTAAAAGACGAGGAGCGAGCCGAAGAGATCCTGGCAGCTCAGGAAAAGTCCTTCCACCATGTGACACACGATTTGGTCCGAGAAGTCACTTCCCCAAACTCCACTGTGAGGAAGCAGGCCATGCACTCGCTGCAGGTGTTGGCCCAGGTCACTGGGAAGAGTGTGACGGTGATCATGGAGCCCCACAAGGAGGTGAGACTGTCACCTGCACCAGGGATTTGAAACGGGGTGGTTCCTGTCTGGACGCTTCGGTTGCCCTTCGAGGAGCACCTGTGAGTGACCCTCCCGACTTGCTTCTCCAGGTCCTCCAAGACATGGTCCCTCCCAAGAAGCATCTGCTCAGGCACCAGCCTGCCAATGCGCAGATCGGCCTGATGGAGGGGAACACCTTCTGCACCACGCTGCAGCCCAGGCTCTTCACGATGGACCTGAACGTGGTGGAGCACAAGGTGTTCTACACAGAGGTAGGGGGCGTGGAGTGTCACGCGTGGTGGTGATGCATGCCTGCCTGTGTCCGAGAAGGCACAGGCACTGACTACAGGTAGCCTCTCCTCTCACGGCCCACCCCTCTGAGCCAGCACTGGCCAGCCAGCGGGAGGGTCCCATGACTCAGGAGCTCCATGCTATGTGGTGATTTCTGACTCCTTGGGACTCTGCTAGGGCTGTAGCATTGTGTTGTAGACACTGGATTCCACTCGTGCACGGTAGGCACTCCTGTGTCAGCTGATGCCCAGAATACGACTGCAAGTCACAAGTGCCAGTGTGTCAACTTAACTTTTGCACTTTGGTGCTCTCTGTGCTGTGGCAATAACCCCTTCAGCTCTGACAGCACACGACGTTCAATCTCCTGTGGCCGATGAGGACACAGGCCCGGGATCTATTACACAGCCAGCGCCTCCCCCGGGGGAGCCAAGTCTCAGCTCGCTGACCTGTCGGGTTCTTGTTCGGCAGATTTGACAAGAGACAGACTGCAGCAAATGTCGTTTCTTAGACACTGGCCACTGTAAATGTGGCGCTAGTGGGTTCCACTGTGAGGTGACATTAGGACTCACATGGACCCAGCAGGACTGAGGAGAACTACTCCATGGGGCTTCTAAGACTGTAGATCTTGATGAAGTGCACAGCCTCGTCTTTCTCCTGCAGAGTGGGCTGGTGGCATCAAACCACTGACCTTGTTAGTAGCCCAGTGTTGTGTAACCACTACACCACTGGGTGATAAGCAAGACAAAAATCAAACCTGTAGATAGAGTTCTAATTGTTAAACATTAATTCTTAGAATTCACAATGGGCCCTGATGCTCAGTCCCAACGTGATGTTTTTATCAGTGGAAATCCTGGGGACATAGGGGCAAAACTCATGCGGATACACATCCTTTGAGATCCCCGCCCCACCCCACCCGGAGCCTGGATTCCCAGGTTGCTCCTTGTTGCTCCTTGGGCATGGGGAGCCCTGTTTCCTGAAGGCTCGACAGGATGTTCCAGGAGAGCCCCTGGGGTTAGAAGGACAGCTTCCCTTTGCCCATGGCACAGGCGTGTGCATCACCTGTGCAGAAAGACCCCTGCTAAACCCAAGACTAGAATCTGGTCACGATGGATGCTCAATCCAGGGGCAGGAAACAGACTGCTGAGGACGGACTAAATTCCGACACATCTGGGTGATAGCACATACCCGACCTTTTAAAATTGGATGGCGGTGATATCTGGAAGCAGGCAAAAAGAGACAGGACCCCTTTGCTTCCAGGAGAAACGTGCCAGCTTCAGGGTGGGTGAGAACCCATGTGCAACCTCATCTCACTGCTGTGGCGACTGATCGGCGCTTGCAAAGGGAAGCATACATAGTCCCCTCCTCAAATTTTGGAGGATTTTTAGTTCAATCTGTCATTTGTTGAGAATACTGGATTCCCTGCTGGCTCTTAGAAAGTTGTTGTGTTGGGGAGTGTGTGTGAGATGGCCCTGCTCTGCCCTCTGCTCTGCCCTGTGAGTCATGAATGGACTGAATGGACTGGCGTGCTGGTCTTCCCTTCACAGTTGTTGAACTTGTGTGAGGCCGAAGATTCAGCCCTGACCAAGCTACCTTGTTACAAGAGCCTTCCGTCGCTGGTCCCTTTGCGCATTGCAGCCTTAAGTAAGTAAACACAGGCCTGAAGGCGGCGTGGTCCAGGGCCTGCACGTAAGTAGGAGGGACAGTGGAGTGTGTTGTCATGGTCTTTCTGGCTCTTTGCAGCCTTTGTAAGATAGAATCCCCCAAATTATGATTGTATGTATCAGATTGCTAAGTGGGAATGAGATGTCAGTGGGTTGAAAGTATCCTGGATTTGAATGGTTTTTTTATACTATTCTAAACTCTGGATTTTACCCTGGAGTAAATGATTACCTTATGGTTGTCAGAGTCTCTGATGAATCAGATGTTTGGTTTGAGAGACTTGGCATGCCAGGCTTTTCATCAGAATTGGATTATTCGGGGGTACATGAGGTGCCCCACAGCCTTTACAGGCACACCTCCTTCCCTTGTGCCTCCCTTTATGGGACTCAACTAGCACTCCCTCCCCACATGGGAGACCGACCTGTGACTCCATTGCAAGCTCGTCATTGCCGTTTTTCCAGCATCTCACCTCCTGCCTCTGTGCCCCATTTTGATTAACCAGAGAAATGTTTCAAACTCTTCTTCCTAATGCTGTTGCTTGTGTCATGGACTACAGTATCGTGCAAACATCAGTCCCATCAGCCCTGCGAAACCAGAACACGTGTGCCTGGTTTGACTGGATGTTTGCTTTGTTGCCGTGGTCTGGAATGCAGCCAGCAGTATTGTTGGGGTCTGCTTGTATAGACTATTGAATGGTTCAGAAAGCATTCAGGTGGCCTGGGTCTTATTCAAGGACATCAGTTATCGGAATTGGACAAGCTTAGGAAAATGCACTAGATGGGTACTGACTGACCAGTGTACCCAAGAAATGGTCTGTTTGGGGGTGGTGGTGAAAGAGTATAACCGTACACTCAACAGAAGCATTTTTAGTGGACTTGGCCTGTTTATGCATTCCCCTAAACATCCGCCAGGATTTTCTTTGAATTCAAGGTCTGAAGCCGAGGATACACTGAAACCTAGCTTGGAAAAGGGGTGGGGTGAAGGGCTGTTGGGGATAATGGCAGGCTTCAATGTGAGAAGGTTTATGAAGGTGTACTCGGTGTCCTTACTTCTGTTGGGCCTCCTGTCTTTCGGCTGCTCTCATGTCTCATTCTTGTTTGCTTATATGGACACTACTCTTAACAGATAGGACTAAGCTCCTTTTCCCAAGAATATTTGCATTTTCAAAGGCTTAAAGCCTTTAATCCTCGAAGTCGGGAGGTGGCTTGGTCCTGGAGAAGCACCCTTTGGGCACTCGGCCACCTAGTCCCGTAGGTCGGCCATGTTCAGCACTAGTAGGCAGGCTGTCAATGGTGCCCACCCTGCTCCTCCTCTGCCCTCCAGGCCTGCAGCCTGGACTGGCTGCCAGGGCATGTTTGACTTCTGTCTTAGAGAGCCATGGGTCATAGTCTCTCTCGGGGCCAGATAGGAAGAGGGGGAGGGGAGGGAGTCTCCCTTCTGCTGGTTGGCCGTGGTCTTGAGAGAGGATGGTGTTGCTCCTTCTTTCTCAAGATGCCCTTGCCGCCTGCAACTACCTCCCTCAGTCCAGAGAGAAGATCATCGCCGCCCTCTTCAAAGCCCTCAACTCCACCAACAGCGAGCTCCAGGAGGCCGGGGAAGCCTGCATGAGAAAGGTGAGTGGACGTGAGAGCGGGGTTGGCCTCACAGAAGAATGTGGTGTCTCCACCTGTCTCTCAGGCCTTCTGAACCTCTTAAACTTTCAGAACAGTGAAGACAGGTCTTCCTTAATTCCTCATGAATTTCCAAAATATTTGTGGTTAATAAGCTCATGTTCCCAAGAGAAAGACTCGCGGCAAGAGTTGAATGTGAGACTGTCATGAAGAATTTGCTGTTGTCTGAATTTGTCTTTGTAACCTCTCTCTCTCAATAGTTTTTAGAAGGTGCAACAATAGAAGTAGATCAGATTCACACACACATGAGACCTTTGTTGATGATGCTGGGAGATTATCGAAGCTTGACGTTGAATGTTGTGAACCGCCTGACCTCGGTCACGAGGCTCTTCCCAAATTCCTTTAATGATAAATTTTGTGACCAGATGATGGTAAGCCAAATGCATTTAAACTTATTCCATAGCAAGCTTTGAAATGAAATGATGCTTTTGAGTAAATGGTGCAGTCACGTGGTTTGAAATGTGAACTGTATAAACTGTGCAGATCATGCAGCAGTACCTTCCTCCTGCCCCTGCCCTCAGCCGCGCTTCTCCTTCCCAGAGGCCAGCAGCAGTGTTGACAGAGGCCTGGGCCTCCTGTAGGGATGTCTGCGTGTGGAACAGGACGCTGTGTCTCTTTCCCCTCGAGGAAAGGAGGCCGCCTCACACACAATTCTTTTCTTCGCTTCGCAACACATCTTGGAGATGATTTCCGATCAGAGCGTGAAGCCTTTTGTCACTCTCTCTCTGGCTGCCCGGTGTCGCTTCAGAAGGCCTTCGCTTCCATCATGTGACCTCTTCCCCATTGATGAGCACGTCCTGCAGTTACAGGCAGTGGTGCAGCGAAAAGCCTTGATGGTAGCCCGTGGCAAACACTTTTTTAGAGGCAGAGTTTCTGGATCAGCAAGAATGCACACATATCTCCCCTTGGCTATAGGGCCAAGTTGTCCTCTAAAGGTTTTTGTTTTGTTTTTTTACCTTTTAACCACTTGGCACTTCTTTCCACAAAACAGAGGTGTGGCCCCTCTTTCTAGACCACCTTGAGCAAACCCTCTGTATCTCTCTGAGGGTTTTAGATGACCAGGGACAAAATATCCAAGAAGACCGATTTGATGATGTTTTAGCTTTGACGTCTAACTTGATGGAGGAGGATTTTCACTATTGACTTCCGTCTGCATTTGGTTTTTCGTCTGATTCATTAGACATTTTACAAGGTCCTGCTTGGCGGTGACTTCCATGAAGGGGTCATATTCCTACATATGCTTCCAAGATGTTCTTACACAGATGGAGTCTTCCAAAGTTCATGGGAGCATCCTGTTAGCTTTTTCATTCTATTTTCCATGAACCTTTTGAAGTGCTCCCCGCCCCAATACATGTCCACCAATCTGTATGGACAGAGCAAAGGGAGGTGGAGGTGCCCTTAACCAGAGCCCCTCAGAATGCACGTTTTGACACCGTCTACTATGGCGGTGGGTGCTTACTCAAACCAGGTCCCAACGTGCTGTGCACTCCTCAGCCACGGGCCGCCTTGCTGCTTCTGGCTCCAGGCCTTGCCCTTTCCTCTCTCCTGCTGTGTGTTTGACTCAAGTCCCCAGCAGGAGCCCCCACTCAAGCTGGTTCCTGTCACTCCAGCCACCCATCGCATAGCTGCACACACGTGTACACACACCACCCTCCCCAGGGAGGCTCTCACCGTGAGGAGCGCTGCCACCATGATGTCTGCCCTGGGGCTGCTCTCGGGGAGGAGTTGTGACAGGGGGAGGCAGCAGTGAGAGGGCAGGACCAGGTTCCTGGAAAGCTCTCTGCCGGGCAGTTCAGTCTCGTGTTGAAGAGAACACAAGCCAGTGCCAGCACCTCCCGTCACTAGCAGGCGGGATAGGGACCCCCGGGTTCTCACACCAGTTTTGACGGGAGTGAATGGGTGTGCTTTTCTGACAGCAACATCTGCGCAAGTGGATGGAAGTGGTGGTCATCACCCACAAAGGGGGCCAGAGGAGCGACGGAAACGTGAGTGGCTCGTTTGTCTGGGGGAGGGGCAGCCGTGCCGTGCATGCTAGAGCAGGGTCCCTGCTCATTGGTGCGTTTAACCACAGCACCGGTCCGCACTTGAGTTTGAAGCAGTTACAGCCCACACAGACGGTCGAACGAGTTTATCTGTATGAGGTCTTGCTTCTCTTTCTCTCAATTGTAAACATTGCTTTTCCTTGGATCTGATGATGCGTGTCCACGTACAAGACTTCTGGGAAGCTTGCCGCATCCTCACTTCAGATTTGTTGATTGTGCTTTCCAGTGTATTTCTGAGACTGCTTGAGGCTGTAGCCACAGCTTGCGTGGGGGTGCGCCTTCCTCAGCTCCTGGTGCCGTTGCTTTTCTTCCCAGAGTGGCCAGCAAGCCTCTGTATCTTATTATCTGCGCCCAACAGCACCTACTAGAGGCTTGCTAGGCCTCATGGGAGCGTCCTGGGAGCATGCTGTACCAGGAAACCTCAGCTCCTCGGCACGTACGTCCTCCAGGCTGCAGCCCCGGCCCCTTCATGTGCCGAAAGTTAAACAAATCGTGCTTCTGACAGCACTTTTATGAAAAATTGGGCCTCCGAGACCAATGCTGTCTGCTGTCGCAGGCCCTAATGTCTGTTTCAGACTTCCCATGGATGCCCATCTGCCAGTGGGCCCAGGCTCTCCCTGAGCTCTGCCACCCCTGGTGGACACGCTGGCAGCCACGCCTGGCGCGACACCTCGAGAGAGCGTGTTGGAGCACCACTCATGTGGCTCTGTGCTCTTGCACCCCTTTGCTGGATGCTGGGCTCTCCCAACTCATTTTCACCCCCTCCCCCATTTCCTTTTTGGGCCTTTATTCTTTGTTTTGGCAGTTATAATCCCTGCCACTTTTATAAATGGTCCACAAAGCAGAATGGAACCAGGATTTTCAGCTTTTTTAAGGGTAACTGCCACCACGTACTCTCTGAAGGGAGATCCATGCTCATGGAGAATTGTCAGGGAGCCTCTCCAGGTGAAAGCAGAGTGTATTAAAGCCACACTCAGTCTTGGGAGCCAGGGAAGGACACCTGTCCCAATGTGCGGCAACCCCTCCCAGCCATCTCAATGGTATTCATGTTTTACCTTGGTTCTTACAGTAAACAGAGTTCTCTGAAACATAATCCGTTCTAGAGTAAGCACCAAAGACCCTAGTGGGTAGGTGAGTGCCCTTCCGTTGGACCAGAAAGCCCCTCAAGGATGACGACCACTCCTTGAGCAGGGTTTTGGGGAATGGGGTAGGTGGGGGCACTTTGGAAGGGGACTACATTGGCAAGTCGCCAGGTGTCCCTGGGACGTTTCATCCTCCTCATGAATAAGCTTCTGCCCGAGCAGCTGAAGCTGGAGGCCAAGCACCTGCACCCTCAACTTGAGGAGCAGGGAACGTTAGCTCGGCATTGTGAAAAACAGCATCTTAGCACCGCACACACAAAGCTTGGATTATTCTCTCCCCCAACACCGCTGCTCGAACACATCCATCCTCAACCAGGTCTCGGAGCCTCTGGCCCGCGAGTTCCTGAAAGCCCCAGTCCTCATTTCCTTTAGGGAAGGAACGCCGCCCCCCGCCCCCCCCGAGACAGACGTGCCACCCGCAGGGCCTCTGCTAATGACTGTGTTCTCTGATAACTGTCTGTGCTGTCTTGTCTACCTCTGATCCTTACCGTGTTCCGAGCCCCCGGGACGCTTTTCTGTAAATGCCATCGATAGACCAAAACAAAGGATGCTTTTCCTCCCGTCCCCAGGAAGGCATGTCAGAGTGCGGGCGGTGCTCCCTGTCTCCATTCTGTCAGTTTGAGGTGAGAGCAACCTGTCAGAAGTCAGTTTCTGACGTGCAATGTTGAAGAACCATTTGACTATTTCCTTTCCTTTTCTTTCTCCACGTTTCCGTTGCCTTTTTTTCACGCTGTGATTTTTTTTTTTCTTTCCTTTTTTTGTTTTGTACGTTCTTTTTGTCTCCGTTTTTGGTTCAGCCTGCCGTGGAAGGGGTAGAGGTGAGAACGCGAGTGGAGGCCCAGGCGGGGTTGCTGTCGTATTGGTTTTGCTGTGACTCGTCAGCTGTCCTGTGGTTCTGTCCCGGGCGGAGTGCCTTGTGCCTTTGAGTGCAGTGACCGTGTTGTCTTGTCTGTGGCGGATTCGACCCAGTCCCATTGCTGTGAACTGTCTAGATGCCACGCATGCCTTATCTCCGGAGTTTGAAGCAAGAGCCTCAGGGTTTTGTTCTGTTTCCTGTCTGTTAGAAACCCCTCTTTTCTACCTCTCTCCATACCCCACCGTAAGGCGCCCATTGGATTTTGTTAGCATAACGTTTTGTCTGGGAAATGCCACGGAAGAAGATCATTGTACTTGGCTGGGAATGGGTAGCACTTAGAGGCAATCTGCCCCCTGACTGACCGACTGACTTGAGCTGACCCTCCTGCCCGCCCCTGCCTCACACACACAGGTGTCAGGACAGCCTGGCTTTGGACCGTCAAACCCAGCACTTTTCCCGGGAAGCTGTACAATGGGGCTGACAGCACCACCTGCTGCCTCTGTCTTCCAGTGTTGCCATGAAGGGCACAAACGGTGACTTGGCAACGGTGCTCTGAACACTCAGACCCCCCACATACAAGCACCACTGCTCCACTGTTACGGGACCCTGGTGGCACAGCGGGGAAGCACTGGGCTGCGAACCTAAAGACTGGAGAGAGCCCAGCGATCTGTAACGGCCAGGAAAGCCCTGCAGCAGGGTACTTCTAAGAATTTTTCCATTGGGGTCCCCATGAGTGGGACACCCTGCCCCCGCCCATGGCACCCAGCAGTTGCATTCCACCTGGTGCCAGGGCCCAGACTTTCCCGGGGGCTGGGCAGACTGTTGGTTCACAAACCAGGGGAACTGAGCGTGAGACTGCAAAGTCTCCGGGACCCTCACTTAGAGCCACCTACCTCTGAGCAGACCTGACAGTTCCCGTTTCCAATGATCCAGCATAACAGATTGCCAGCCTCATGTGTAGGCCTGGTTGGAAAAATGATTGACAGATGCTTAAGACTGTGACATTGGTATCTGCTGTCTCCTTTAAATAGTCATGGTTTTGAAGGCCTCTTTTGTAGTAGGTTCTGAAGGCAGGAGTAGTCAGTGTCCTCAGAGGACCACGTGGTACCCTAGCAGAGTGAGAGAGGTCCTAATGTTCTCTTGCCACCCAGCTGGTGTCCCTCAGTCAGCGCACCAGCACAGGTGACCCAGAAGGTCCCTTCCAAGGCCTGCCAGTGGGCATGGAAACAAACACAGTCCCCCCACGTGACATACACACTGACATCCCCCCACAGTTGACGGGTCAACTGAGAGCCCAGGGAAGGTTGCCCCCTTAGGACATAGTGGTAATCCACAGTGGGTAAGTCGTGGCTTTTTCTGTGTTACCTCTTGGCTTCCAGTGGCTCGCCTTGCAAATGTAGTCAAACCGTAGTAAGGTCTGTGGTCCTGTCCATAGTGTGAGCCAGCAAGACCGACTGGCCTGGGTTCTCACTCCTGGTTTTCTCTCTAGGAAATGAAGATCTGCTCAGCAATTATCAACCTTTTCCACCTGATCCCAGCTGCACCTCAGACTCTGGTCAAGCCTTTGTTGGAGGTGGTCATGAAGACAGAGCGGGCCATGTTGATCGAGGTAAGGGTCAAACCTGGGATTGATTCCGGTTCTTCCTCCAGCTATTTGCTTATGATATTTGTACCGTGTTAGAATTAGAACTGGTTGATAGTGTAAAGGTATTGGATATTGACGTGAGTGCCCTCCATTTGTGAGAATGACTGTGTATTGTTACTGTGTGAGGGAGGCGGACAAGCCAGTGACGAACAAGGCGGGGGCGAAGGGGAGCAGCGGAGTCGTGTGTCATCCTGTGAGGGGTTGTCGTGCGCGCCCCCCCCCCCCGTCACGGCTGGGAGCAGGCAGACACACCTGTTGGGAGGAAGCCAGGTGCGTCACCACCCTGTGAGCTGGGTGGTTGGTGCAGTCCAGTTACAAGGAGCCATGTGTCCCTTAATGTTTGACAACCGTTTGTGCGGGTCACGTGCATCTTGGCTGTGTGAGATGGACAAGCCAGCTACACAAGGAATGCCAGAACCCCATAAAGGGACAGCGTCCAATAAGGTTTCCCTGGTGTGCTCTAGGCTGGCAGCCCCTTCCGGGAGCCTCTGATCAAGTTCCTGACCCGGCACCCCTCCCAGACGGTGGAGCTGTTCATGATGGAGGCCACGCTGAACGACCCCCAGTGGAGCAGGATGTTCATGGTAAGGGCCTCGAGGAACTGGGCGTCCACCCCGCCTGGTAGCCGCCAGGGTGGCACGTACACTTCAGCTCCTGTCTCGCTGACGAGGATCTGATCTTGATGTGCTTTTCCCGAGTCTCGCAGCGTGAGTGTAGTTCAGTTAGTGCGTGCCAACTGCCTACCTGGGGTGAAAAGGCCATTCCGATGAGCTTATCTAGAGGTGCGGCGTCCCTGGGGGACGGGGTGGGGCGGGGCAGAGTTGAATCCACCCAGAAGCCCCTTGGAAGAAAGGGCTGGTGAGTGTGGAGCCCAGGTCTCCTGAACCAACCGTGGGGTCAGCATGCGCGCTGACCGTGACGAGCAGAAAAGAGCCCTAGAGCCTGAGCGTGGATGGACTGACGGTGGCCCTCCTGTCGGGTGTGTTCTGTCTCAGAGCTTCCTGAAACACAGAGATGCCAGACCTCTCCGAGACGTGCTGGCTGCCAACCCGAACAGGTTCATCACCCTACTGCTGCCCGGCGGCACGCAGGCGGCTGTGCGCCCCGGCTCCCCCAGCACCAGCACCCTGCGCCTGGACCTCCAGTTCCAGGCCATCAAGGTAGTGCACCCCTACCCATCCCCACCCCTCCACCTGGGCCCCAGAAGCCCCAGTGGGCCCTGCCCACACCCTGAGTGTGCCTGCCCCGCCCCCCCCCCCCCAGATCATCAGTATCATTGTCAAGAACGACGACACCTGGCTGGCCAATCAGCATTCCTTGGTGAGCCAGCTGAGGCGCGTGTGGGTCAGTGACCTCTTCCAGGAAAGGCACCGCAAGGAGAACATGGCCGCCACCAACTGGAAGGAGCCCAAGCTGCTGGCCTTCTGCCTCCTGAATTACTGCAAGTGGGTGCTCCCTGCTGCCCGGAGTATGCCCCTCCCCCCGCGGCCCCCCCCCCCCAGGGCCCCGCTCGGGGAGGTGGTTAGCGTGCGTGCCTTACGTTGACCTTGCAGGAGGAATTACGGCGATATCGAGCTGCTCTTCCAGCTGCTGCGTGCCTTCACTGGCCGCTTTCTCTGCAACATGACGTTCCTGAAGGACTACCTGGAGGAGGAGATTCCCAAGAGCTACACCATCGCCCAGAAACGGGCCTTGTTCTTTCGCTTTGTAGACTTAAATGACCCCAACTTCGGAGATGAGCTAAAAGCCAAGGTGGGTGGCTTAGAAGGTGCTGGCTATCTGGGGTCAGCTATCCTAGGGACCCGGGGCACAATGAGGGTTCAGCAGCCGCTGCCTCTGTGGCTCTGATGTTTGCCGGTGAGGAAACGCCGTCCTTGGGGACTCAAGGCAGAGCTGGCAGCAAAGCCAGCGAGGAAAAGCCTGTGCTCACGTGTCTTTGCATTTAGGAAATGACTTGTGTGGGGCAGGAAGAGGAGCCGGGCCGCCATCTCTCTTAAGTTTGTAACCGTCTTTTCCCGCCATCATGGGCGTACAGGTCCCGATGGCAAGCTGCTCCCTTGGCGGGCGGATTGTTGTGCGCTGACGCAAGGCACCCTTGGTTGTCTGTCTGGCCACTTTCCAGCACCTTGTTTCTTCCCTGTAGGTCCTGCAGCACATCTTGAACCCAGCCTTCTTGCACAGCTTTGAAAAGGGGGAAGGAGAGCAGCTCTTGGGCCCCCCAAATCCCGAGGGAGACAACCCGGAGAGCATCACCAGCGTGTTCATAACCAAGGTGGGGGGCATGCTGCGGGGCCGCTGAGATGAGTGCGTCTCCCTGCGGGTTTCCTTTCTCACGGTGACACGGCACCACAGCGTGTGCTGGTGGGTGATTAAGGGCAGCCTCATCTTGGCGTGAATCCTCATTTCCAAATCAGTCTGAGGCGCGGCCTGCTCCCTGTCTCCGTGGGAGTTCCACTATCATGCCCCATCGAAGCCCTCCCTGTCTCTCAGACTGTTCACAGCGCTCTGTTTCCAACTCAGAAGGGGATTCCCCACTGTGCTCCGCCCACAGGTGCTGGACCCCGAGAAGCAGGCCGACATGCTGGACTCGCTGCGCATCTACCTCTTGCAGTATGCCACGCTGCTGGTGGAGCATGCGCCCCACCACATCCACGACAACAACAAGAACCGCAACAGCAAGCTGCGCCGGCTGATGACCTTCGCCTGGCCCTGCTTGCTGTCCAAGGCCTGCGTCGACCCCGCCTGCAAGTACAGCGGCCACCTGCTCCTGGCCCACATCATCGCCAAGTTCGCCATCCATAAGAAGATCGTGCTTCAGGTGCTTGTCCTTCCTTGAGTCTCTGCACGTGTCCCTGCTGCCCCTGGCCTGGCAGGCTCTGGCTGTTAGCAAGCAAACGCGCCCCTTCTCTGCTGCATCTCTCTGTATCCCTCCACCCTTCATGGCCTCTTTGCTTAGAAACAAAATGTCTCCTTTGTCCCCCACAAGCTTCCTAACCACCTGCCACTCAACCACGGAGGGTGCTTTGGTCACAGGCTCAGCCACATTGGGACCCCCTTCTGGGGGAGTGCCGCCAAGCCCATGTGCTGCGAGTCTCTCTGGGCGGGCCTGGTTTGAGTTTGCTGGAGTTTCGTACCCTGCACACCTGCCCAGCCTCACGTCTGCTCCACTCAGCGCATGTTTGCTCTAGTTCAGTGGTTCTCAACCTGTGGGTCGCGACCCCTTGGGGGGCGTCGAACGACCCTTTCACAGGCGTTGTCAGATGCATAACAGTAGCAAAATTATAGTTATGAAGTAGCAACAAAATAATTTTATAGTTGGGGGGTCACCACAACATGAGGAACTGGATTAAAGGGTCGCAGCATTAGGAAGGTTGAGAACCACTGCTCTAGATGTTCATTCTGTTTTCCTGAGACCCTTCCCTCTAGTGGACATTGATGGTGGTGGAGTCCAGGACCCCAGCCCCTAGGGTTGCCACTGCTTCCCCTAGATTCTCCCAGCAGGGAGACTGTTGGCTCCTCAGAACCTCAATGCACAGGTGGAGAAACGCTGCTGTAGCCCTCCAACCCTCCCTGATACCCAGGCCCCCCAGTGCCTCCTCTGGGCCATCATGCTGCCCTTTCACCTGGCCTCCACTCAGGCTCACAGGCCTCATAAACTTTGGATTGATGGACAGCTCCTACTTTCCCTTTGAGAGTGTGCAAGTTTGCCCTCTCTTTGAATTGACTGCATCTGCCCCTGCTGGTGACGCGGTCTTCCCCACATCGGCTCCACGTGCCGCCTGCCCAGCTCCTCCATCATGACAGACTGTGAGCCTTTTCTTCTGCATCACAGCCGGGCTGAGGAAGAGCCCCAGGCACCCGTTGCACCTGCCCTGCCAGTTTGACCTAAGACAAGGCAGAGAGTTGCCTTCACCCCGGATATGGCCGTGTGGCTGGAGCTCCTTGTCTCACTTCCTCTCTGATGCCCCCTGGGGGACGACCTGGAGCCCCAGCCAACTGCTTGCTACTAGACTCAGCCTCCCAGAGCTGGAGCCAGGCCTTCCTCCTGTTTGCCCACCTCAGCCCAGCCAAGAGCATCTAGTGGGCACTTAGCAAACGGACAGTGAATGTGTTTGCTGACCAAAACTTGCCAGCTGGAGGAATGGCTGAGATTCAGTACCAGAGAGTCCCACGACTTCCTAAACACCCTGTCTACCCCTCCCACCCTCCCTGCCTGTTTCTAAGTAGTGGCTGCTGCCCGGCAGCCTGTGTCCGTCCACGCCTTGTGCCCACTCCACCTTGGGACCCCCTTGCTGTTCCAGGTGTTCCACAGTCTTCTCAAGGCCCACGCGATGGAGGCCCGGGCCATCGTGAGACAGGCCATGGCCATCCTGACGCCCGCAGTACCGGCCAGGATGGAGGATGGCCATCAGATGCTGACCCACTGGACCCGCAAGATCATCGTGGAGGAGGGCCACACAGTGCCGCAGCTGGTGCACATCCTGCACCTAATCGTGCAGCACTTCAAGGTGTGTGCTTGCGGGCTGCTGTGGGAGGCACTCCTCCCTCGCTGTGGCAGCAAGGCATGCTCAGTGAGCGTAGCTTCATCAACACTGCCTGCTGTAGTTGGAGACCTTGTCTTAGGTCTGTGCTTCTGTCTGTCCAAAAGTAGCCCCTCATTGTAAACACTCAGCTGAAGAGCCCTGGGGGTGCCGTGCATAAAGCGCTGGGCTGCTAACCAGAAGGTTGGCAGTTCCAACTGGCCAGCCATGCTACAGCGCCCTCAGGAAGAGGCGATCTGCTCACCTGGGGGGAAGTCCTAGCCTGTCCCGTTGGGTTGCCCTGACTTGGAATTGATGGCTGCGAGCAGTGGTGACAGCTTCTGAAAATGGAAATAGCACCAAGGCTGAAATGTGCCCTGGGTGCTCCTGGGTTTCGGGAGACGCACACTTAGGGTGTCCGGGTATGTGCAAGTGTACATGCACGAACGTGCGTGGGGTCCCCTGTGATGCCCACCTGCAGGTGTACTACCCCGTGCGCCACCACCTGGTGCAGCACATGGTCAGCGCCATGCAGAGGCTGGGCTTCACGCCCAGCGTCACCATCGAGCAGAGGCGGCTGGCGGTGGACCTGTCGGAGGTCGTCATCAAGTGGGAGCTGCAGAGAATCAAGGACCAACAGGTAGGCCCCCCGCTGGCCCCGCCCTCTCCTGCTGCGTCTCCCTGCACAGCAGGCGGTGAGCTCACGCATGTTATGTATTTTGAAGCCGGACTCGGATGTGGATCCAAACTCGAGCGGAGAAGGTGTCAACTCTGTCTCGTCTATGAAGAGAGGCTTGTCTGTGGACTCTGCCCAGGAAGTGAAGCGCTTCCGGACAGCCACCGGGGCCATCAGTGCAGTAAGGCCCCGTCCCCTCGCAGGGCGCTTTCTGTGTGGTTGCCAAGCTTTCCTTCACAGCCTCTTCTGCTGCTGACCACACTTTGGCCGGGGCAGCCGGGAGAGGCTGCATTCTGTGCACCGCTCACTAAAGGGTCCCCAGGCTCGGTTTCCTGCTCATTCATGTGCAGCAGCACAAGCACCTCTCTGAGGCTTGTGCCCATGGCGTGGCCTCGCTCTCCTTGGAGCCGGACTCCAGGTCACGGTCCGGCTCTCCTGCTGGCGTCTGCTGCGTGAGGGTGGAGCACTGGGTGCGCCAGCACTGGGGATCTGCCTGCTAGCCCTCTGTCGGGAGTGCTTGTCCGACCGCTCCTGCCTCATCAGCTGCCCTTTCCAGGTGTTTGGGAGGAGCCAGTCGCTGCCCGGAGCAGACTCCCTTCTGGCCAAGCCCATCGACAAGCTGCACACCGACACAGTGGTGAACTTCCTCATCCGAGTGGCCTGCCAGGTGCGAGACGTAGAACCGCTTATGCTGGAGATTCTTCCCCACTCAGCCGGCTGAGTACTGTCTCAGGGTGCTACAGGTGACAGTGGGTCAGAAAAGAGTCTGAAAACGAATCCTGTCACTTCAGTGCCAAATGCCCTTGATTCCATGGCCTGTTAATCTGAAATCTGCTTGTCTTGTGGCTTGTACAGCTTTTAAAGGGTTTTCCCCCTCTTCACTGGGAATAACATTGAGAGCACGTTCATGATAAGTGAGCTGTGGTAGGTGGGTCAGTGATCTTGGGCATGCCACTGTAAGTTCCAAGTTTTCCTTGTCCAAAGAGGGGGTGCTATATCTAGTGGCATTGAGATGATCCAGCTTATCCTAAAACATCCACGTGTGACTGCTGTTGGTTGTGTTCAGTCATGCACACCAACGAGCGTGTTCGGGATGTTGAGAGTACAGTCCTGAAAGCGGTCAGTTTTCCAGTGCCAACAGATAGGCTGTCTTTCTTCAGCGTGTGTAATTGTTAGACAAGATAGCATACCTGGCAGTGCCGCTGAGCGTTTCCAAGCCCTGAAAAGATACCTGCCCAGCTCCCCAGCCAGTGGTCACTTCCAGTGGCCCACAGCCTGCTCAGCTATGCTTCTGGTGAGGCACCCGGCCCTGCGTCAGAGTGTCCGGGCCTTAATCTAGCGGTTACTGATTCTCGCCCTGAACAAGAGGGCTTCAAGGGTGTCTTGGTCCAGAGGCTCAGGGTTCCAGAAGTCGGGTATTGGCAGGGCAGCCCTGCCAGCAGTGGGGTGCTGGCTGCACTCCAGCCGGGCTCTCACCTGGCTGTGTTCTAGGTGAACGACAACACCAACACAGCGGGCTCTCCCGGGGAGGTGCTCTCCCGCCGCTGCGTCAATCTCCTGAAGACGGCCCTTCGGCCAGACATGTGGTCCAAGTCCGAACTCAAGCTCCAGTGGTTCGACAAGCTGCTGATGACCGTGGTGAGTGCCCGCTCTGCCAGGGTCTCACGAAGGGTCCCTCTGAGGTGTGACGTCCTCTGCCCCTGGGTCCCTAGCTCTGCTGGGACCGGAAATGCTTCCGGAACCTCAGGTGGCCTCCCACGTCCAAGCGCCTTGAGGGCCTCTCAGAGAAACCCCCGTCCTCGTTCATCTCCCTGTGGTTCTGTGGTCCTCGGTTGTGCTTCCTTCTGGGCTAACCGACTTTCCCAACTGAGTTTCCACAAGGTCCGCAGTTTCAGCTCACACCTTCGGGCAACACGTGCAGGATGAACAGGGAACATCCCAAGGATCCGCGGGAACTGCCATCATCCATTATCCTATTAGTGCCCCAGGCGCATACATGTGTAAACCAGTTTCCTTTCTACAGACCACGTCCTTCAGCTCTATTGTACTGTTTTGTTTTATTTTTCTTCAACATTGACCAAAATCAAACTCCCTAACTCATTACCTTTGAGTCGACTCTGACTCCTAGTGTCCCTGTAGGAGAGGGTAGAACTGTGTTTCTGAGACTCCTGATGGAGTGGAAAGCCGCCGCTTTCCCCCTCGGAACTCGCGGGGCCTTACAACTGCTGCGCCTCCCCCCCCCCCTCTCCCGGCAGCCACCAGGGCTCCCAAACACTGACAGTCAGTGGACTTTGTTCAGACAGTTGGAAAGGTGCACTTCTCTTGGAAAGATACTGAATACTGTAACTAAAACAAAACAAAACTGGAGTGGTTTGCTATACTAAGTTTTCTTTTTTAATCCACAGTTTTGTGATTTTAAAAAGCTAATATTTTTAATCGGGCACTTTTTAAAAGGGTGGATTAATGTAAAACAAATAGATGAAAGAAGCTCTTGAATGAAACCCTAATGCATTAGTGAAATTAAATATTTGATACAGTAGTCATAAGAAACTTCCGAACGCTGTAGGAAAGTCCCATTATCTTGTAATCCCGTTTTTTCTGTCTGTGTGTGTGTGTTTTCATGAGGGACATGCTGTGCCCCTTCCTTCAGTTGTGTCTCAGTTCCCAGGACCTCCCCTTGCATGTGCTCTGTCTTGCTGGGCTCACGTGCATGCGCTGCAGCTTGGTTGGAACGCCTGCCGCAGCCCATCCGTGTGCTGTGTTCTGCTTGCAGGAGCAGCCCAGCCAGGTGAACTACGGGAACATCTGCACGGGGCTGGAGGTGCTGAGCTTCCTGCTCACCGTCCTCCAGTCCCCCGCCATCCTCAGCAGCTTCAAGCCCCTGCAGCGCGGAGTGGCGGCCTGCATGACTTGCGGGAACACCAAAGTCCTGCGAGCTGTCCACAGCCTCCTCTCGCGCCTCATGAGCGTGTTCCCCACAGAGCCGAGTAGGTGACGCCCTCGCCTGCCCTTCCCAGCATGTGCTGGGCACCGGGGCAGGGTGGTCGGGGCACTTCAGGGACCCCTTCTCTTTTTGAAAAATCACCATAAAAACTCAATAATGTTGGCACGTTAGTATTATCATCATTTTTTTTGTTGTCTGTTGTGGAAATGCTGTTGTTCGTTTGCCGAAGGTCGCTGTTCTTCTCACGTGTGTTAAGAAGGCAGATTAGGGTAAATTAAAGTCTTTTATCCAGCATTGAACTGCTAATATTCCCGTGGCTTACAGCACATCCTGGTAAAGCTTGGGGTGCTGACAGGCTTTGGCCTCCCCTGTAAAGCAGATACTTGCCCAGGGAGGAACACCTCTCCTGCCCTGCAGGGGAAGAGAATGACCTCTGACCTTCAGCATCTAAAACGCACATACGCATGCACACTTCCCTAGAATCACGGGTGGTGGCTGTCAGACCCAGGTCTCATTGTTCCAGTAAAAGTTTACCGAGCGCCTCGTTCTGGCCACCACAGACACCAAAACAGCCAAACTCTGTCCCCACCTAACATGATACATGTGAGCGTCCGGGGGCGCGGGAGGGCCTGAGAGCCCAGACTGCAGTGCCCATATCTCACCTGTGCCCACAGGCACCTCCAGTGTGGCCTCTAAGTACGAAGAGCTGGAGTGCCTCTATGCGGCCGTGGGCAAGGTCATCTACGAGGGGCTCACCAGCTATGAGAAGGCTGCCAATGCCAATCCGTCCCAGCTCTTTGGTGAGTGCGGCTTTCCTGCTCTCCGCGCGGTTCCAGTGGGTTCACGGTTCTGGAGAAGGCTCGGCTGTGGTGTGGAGCTTCTGAACTGCCATGTTGTTCAGGCTGCCTGTGTGTGTGGCGTCAAGGAACCCCCTTCCCTAGGCTCTTGTCATGAGCACTTCCAGCCTCTAGCCTTAGAGGCTAGAATTTAGCTGCGAGGGCCCTCCGCTCTCCTGGGCACAGGGTCCTGCCCTCGGTTTGCTAGCAAATCCAGAGTCGGGTCACTGAACCTGTCAGCAAGCTTCTGATACGCCATCTGGCTCCCTCGGAGAGGTCAGCAAACTGACTTCATCCGGGTGATTCGCTGAAACTCAAAATACAGAAATGAAGCAAGGGTGCTGCTTTCCACACACAGTAGGTCCCTTCTCACGCAGTCGCTGCTCCATCTTTGCAGCTAGGGGTGAAAACCTAAGGCTTCCGAATCTGACGTTTGAGAGTAAGCTGTGCCTGTGCCGTGCTGTTCTGAATAGCGTGTTCCTGCTAGTCTTTTACGTGTAGCTGTTCCGTAAGATAACCGCTCTACGTGTGGCTGTTCCGTAAGATAACCGCTCCCCCCACCCAGGCACGCTCATGATGCTCAAGTCGGCCTGCAGCAACAACCCCAGCTACATCGACAGGCTCATCTCCGTGTTCATGCGCTCGCTGCAGAAGATGGTGCGCGAGCACCTGAACCCCCAGGCCACCTCAGGAAGCACAGACGCCGCCTCAGGTGACAGCCCAGGGCCCGTGCTGGTGACGTGGACTCTAGTCGGCACCGGTGCCGTGCTGGCCGTGCAGTCCAGGTGCCCGCTCCCACACGACCGTTCATTCTGAGCAGAGAGGTGCAGGCGGGTTTGTAAAATGAGCTGTTGTGAGAAGGTGTGTGAGTGCAAGAGGGAAGCGTGTGTGGAGGAGCCCCGTTCACAGCTGCTCGGGAGGAGCAGAGTTCCAGCTTCCAGGGGTAAATGGCAGGCTTCAGGAACCTGTGGAGGGTGGGAGGGGGAGAGAGAGAGTGCGCACGCGCGCGCGCGTGTGTGTGTGTGTGTGTGTGTGTGTGTGTGTATGGCCCGCTGTTAGACAGGCTTTAGAACACAGGTGCCAGGAGTGTGACTCAAGCATGTGGGGTACAGGTGCTCCTGGGCCATTTGCACAGTAGCTTGCCCCATGGAGGGAAGGTGCTTCCGGAGTGCAGTAGTGTCCAGAGTTCGGTGGTGACCCTGTACTCGGGAACAAAACGGGCCCTGCTCTGGGCCGCCTCATGATGGGTTACAGGCTAGACCCCTGTGAGCCTAGGGTGGTTGTTGGCTGGCTTGTTGTAGAGAAAGGTCACCATTTCGTTAGCATCTGGAAGCTCTGCGGAAGCCTGTCCAGCATCGTAGTAGCACACCAGCCACAGACAGCCAGGGTGTACTGGCCAGGAGCCAAGCCCAGGCGTCCTGCCTGCGGGGCAGGCCAGATTTCTGCCAGTGAGCCACCTGAGTCTACCGGCTGGAGGCTAAAGACGGCACTCTGGGGGGCAATGGGCGGACTCCGCTGTGGCCAGGCCCGCCGAGCGGCGGCGTGTTTAAGATGTGGGCATGTCGCCGTCCTCCCCGTGCGCAGGGACCAGCGAGCTGGTGATGCTCAGCCTGGAGCTGGTGAAGACTCGGCTGGGTGTGATGAGCACGGAGATGCGCAAGAGCTTCATCCAGGCCATCCTGACGTCCCTCATCGAGAAATCACCCGACGCCAAGATCCTCCGCGCCGTGGTCAAGATTGTGGAGGAATGGGTCAAGAACAACTCACCGATGGCAGCCAATCAGGTGAGCTGTGGAGAGGGGGAGGGGCTGGCGACTAAAAGTCAAGCTTCTCCTCCTCCGCTTGTCGCAGTGTTTGAAGGGAAGCCAGGTCCTCCCCGCCAGCCTAGTGGCTGCTGACTGCCAGGTCACGGTTCTAACCCACCAGCCGTCCCCTGCCTCCCATCAAGATGTGCAGTCTTGGAAAAAACACACAGGGGCTACGCATCAGCATCAACTAGACGGCCAGTGGGTGTGGTAGTCTTCCGTGAGAGCATTTTGATGACCAGGATGGGGCTCAGGGCCCTGGAGCTGAAGACAGGCTGTTGGGAGAATGGTGTCGATAGACTTGCTCAGTGCAGGTGACTGCAGACCTTCAGTCCTCAGTGTGGCACGAGGCGTGCCATCAGACTTGACAGAGACCCCTCACTTTGGCTGGCCGTTCATCTGCGCACTAAGTGAACCTTCTTTTCTTTCTTTTTTTTAAATCATTTTATTGGGGGCTCATACAACTCATCACAATCCATACATACATCAATTGTGTAAAGCACATTTGTACATTCATTACCCTCATCGTTCTCAAAACATTTGCTCCTCACATAAGCCCCTGGCATTTTTCTCCTCCCTCCCCGCTCCCCCCTCCGTCATGAACCCTTGATAATTTATAAATTATTATTTTGTCATATCTTACACTGTCCGACGTCTCCCTTCACTAAATGAACCTTATGTGGTGGCAAAGGTGAACCAGAATCGCAGTACTGGGGTGTAACTTATAGCCTGGCAAGCCGATTTTCTGGCCTTCTCTGCGGAGTGGCAGCCTCTGGGGCAATGCTATCGGCATCTCGATTTGCCACATCCAGAACCACCTTTGACCTCTTCCTCCCTCTATCAATGGCCCGGTCTCGTCATACTTGGCAAAATCGTAAGCGGCCAACTGTCCAGTAGATGGTTTTGAGCGTGTCTCTCTTCAGAAGAATGTGATGGACTTTTCTCTCAAACCCTAACTGCCTGCAGACACCTACGCTCCGGGAGAAGTCCATCCTGCTGGTGAAAATGATGACCTACATAGAGAAGCGTTTTCCCGAAGACCTTGAATTAAATGCCCAGTTCTTAGACCTCGTGAACTACGTCTACAGGTAACGATGGCAGTTCCTGTGGCATTTTAATTACCTAGCTGTACCTCGGGGGCCCTGGTGGTGTACTGGTTGGGCACTGGGTTGCTAACCACTCGGTCAGCAGTTTGAAATCACCAGCCCCAGCTCCGGAGAAAGACAAGGCTTTCTATGCACTGTGAGGAGTGCGGCCTCGGAGACTCACCGGGGCAGTTCTGCCCTGCCTTACAGGGTCACTCTGAGTCAGCATCGATGGCGGCAAGTTTGGAGTCGTACCTCAGTTTGCGTTTTGCCCGTACCCTGTGCCAGGTGTGCACGACTCCACCCGCCGCTGATCGCATCCCCTAGGCTCCCGTGAGGCTGCTGAGAAGTTGGATGTCCACCTGTCTCTGCTTGCTTGTGGCCGGTTGAACCTGCCGCCGAGCCTGGCTTGCCCAAATTGGCGTCCTTTCTCGCTTCAGGGATGAGACCCTGTCGGGCAGCGAGCTGACCGCCAAGCTGGAGCCCGCCTTCCTCTCCGGGCTGCGCTGCGCCCAGCCGCTCATCAGGGCCAAGTTTTTCGAGGTTTTCGACAGCTCGATGAAACGCCGTGTATATGAGCGCCTGCTCTATGTGACCTGCTCCCAGAACTGGGAGGCCATGGGGAGCCACTTCTGGGTCAAGCAGTGCATCGAGGTAGGACACAGGCTCCCGACACAGCCGGGCTGGCCTGGGGTGTGTGTGTGTGTGTGTGTGTGGTGGGGGGGGGGGTTGGGCCTGGTTCTGAGCCCATGACCAGAAACCATGGTGCCCTGGATAAAGTGCCGCAGGCGGCTGACGGGACCAGCTGGTGGTGTGAGCCCCCCAGCTGCCCCGAGGAAGGCAGACGACGGGCAGTGTGTTCACAGCCCTGGAAACCCAGGGAGGCAGGCCTGTCCTCCAGGGCCACTGAGAGCTGAGATGGGCTCTGGGGCAGTGGGTTTGGATTTTGGCTTTATTAGAAGGCCGGATATCATTTCTTAGTTGATAGCCAAAGGATCTGTTTTTCTTCAGCTGTAAAATGTTTAAAGTTTATCAAATATAAAAATGCTTCGAAGAACAAAGCCGTTCCCGTCACTCCACTGCTGCCCACGGCAGAAAGCCAGGGTGGCCTTGCAGTCCCCAGGTGTCCTGCCCCTTGCCTGCCCCTCCAGCCCCATCTTGTCCCTCTCCCCACTCCCAGCAGCCTGTCATTTTCTGAGCAAGTCACACCATAAAGGCCTTGCCCTTCCTCTGACTTTGACCTGGCTGATCTCTCCCTCCTCCCTCAGGCCTTGGGATTATAGTGACTTCCTTTGAAAGGGGAAGGTAGGGGGTTCCCCCTCATTCCTGCCGGTTCCCCCATGCCGGGCAGTAGTGTCAGCACAGTGAGTGTGTCTGGGTCATTGACAATGAACCTCTAAGACTCAGCATGCACCTGACCCAGGGCTACAGAGGACCGCTTTGCCAGCAGGAGGTTCTGAATCCTGTCCTGAAGTGCTAGTGCCCAGGACAAGGAGTGAGGTCACAGGAGAGCGTGAGCCGGAACTAGGGGGTGGCCTTCCCTGAGGCTGTGGAGCCATGGGAGGGGGTGAGCCGGGGGCCTTTGAGCAGAAGGGCCCGAGCGCAAAGCCTCCTTCATCTAACGGGGGTGGGGGGTGGGGACCTGACACTACTAGATGTTCGGATGCTGGCAGGCTGTTCTCAGCCCCCACACGGGTCTCCTCTTGCCCATGACCCTGTCTCAGCTGCTCCTGGCTGTGTGTGAGAGGAGCACTCCCATTGGCACCAGCTGCCAGGGGGCCATGCTCCCGTCTATCACCAACGTCATCAACCTGGCCGACAGCCACGACCGAGCCGCCTTCGCCATGGTCACGCACGTCAAGCAGGAGCCCCGAGAGCGAGAGAACAGCGAGTCCAAGGAGGAGGTGAGGCTCACGGCCCCTCCCCGCCCACAGGCCCCGCCCCCCCAGAAGGGGTCAGCCAGGGTGGAAACCTGAACATGGCCCCTGAATAAGTCCCAGGGTTCATGCTGTCATTCAGCTGTGAGAGCGACCGCTTTCTCTGAAGCCAGTGCCACTTCATGCCAGTGTTCCACTGTTGTGGGGAGAAGTGGCCGGGGTGGTGTGCCAAGCTCTGCTCTGAGAAGGCCTCGCCTGGATGCCCAGGGCCGTGTGCCCATCCAGCCTGAAGGGGCCAGAGCTCCTGGTGTGAACAGCCCTGAGCCCTGGCTTCCCCGGCAGCCATGTGCAGAGCACGAGGGTTGGTGGATATGGCAGCTCTTAAAGATGTTTCTCTATGGCCGACTTCTCTGGAGTGCTGGGTGTCAGGAGATGGCCCTAGCCCAGTGCTGAGCCCTCACTCCACCACGGGGTTGTTTGTCAGCTCTCCCAAGGGCGCCTCATTCTTTCGGCAAACAGAGGCTTATCTTCACTGGTGTGGAATCCCTGGACCATAGATTCCCAAGTTGATCTGGACTACAGGTCCCTTTTCAGGAAAAAAAAAAAATTACTTGGCGCTCCCCTGGTCATTAGTACTGTAGCCCACAGTCCAGGATAAAGTATAGGCGTCTACTTGTGTAGCCCCCCAGGGGGCAGTTTGGGGGAAACAACCCTAGATCTGGCCAGGTGTTCTTTCTGGAACTTTCTTGTGTGAACTAAAGACTTGGAAGTGGTCTTATTATACTTTGAAAAGGGAGCACCCTGAACAGTTGAACACTTGACCTCGGTTTACCATCCGTCCTCTATTTTATGGGTGGCGTTAACTCGGATTTAGAATAGCAGTGGTTGAGAGAGGGCTGTGCTTGTTCACGGAGCTGTTCCCGGGACTCTGGACAGGAGCACAGTGTATTCATTCCTCTCTGGGGAACAAACACATGCCAACGACGGCCTGTGCCGCGGCCCTGGGTGAGCGAGGCAGCAGTCCTGCCTTGGAGAGCCACCGAGTGAGTGGTCCAGAACAAGCCTGGGTCTGTGTGTACCGCCCTCAGAAGGAACCCTGCCCTCAGCATGATTTCCACGGTTTGAAGTTTGTAGCTTTTTGTTGTGCGTTTTCCCTAAGCACAGTTGATGGCATTTCACACTGTCATTGGAACAGCACATGTTGATGGGCTGTGCTTGTTTACCTTGGAATTCAAGTGAGCTTAATGAAGTAATTACGAACTTCCAAGAACGGAGTGGAATTTAGGCTCTCCGGAAATGTAATCAGAACTATGTGCATGTGGTGGCCATTGGGTTTACTGGCACTATCTGACCGCTTCGCTTTCTGTTCTGTGGTGCCCAGGACGTGGAGATAGATATTGAACTAGCGCCCGGAGATCAGACCAGCACACCCAAGACCAAAGAACTTTCAGAAAAGGACATTGGAAACCAGCTGCACATGTTAACCAACAGGCACGACAAATTTCTGGATACTCTGCGGGAAGTGAAGGTGTGTATGCAGGTCTGCAGGGGTCCTGGGCATGTGTGGGCCCTCACCCCAGCCCCCCAAGTCACACCTTCGGTCCCACCTACCTTTGGTGGGGTCTAAACTCGCAGTCAAACGGGGTCCTGAGGAGCTCCAGGTCAACTATGGGAAAAGACGGAAAAGTGGAGCCTCGGGGGCTGGTCTCCAATACCCTCCCCCATTGTTAAATCCTGGCTGTACTTTACACAGATCTTCTTAGTACCTCAACTTAACTTAGTTTAACTTAGTCCAGTTAATCCGGCCCTTAAAAAAAATTTTTTTTTTAAAGAATTTAAGTTCTGTTCTACATTTTTCTCACAGTCTATCCTACATTTTCGTCACATTCTATCCAGAGCCATCTCTTGTGATCGCTTATCAGAACCTGTGGCTAGTGGTGGTCAGACACCTTGCAGTAGTTCTGGTCTCAGATGAGGCTTCTATAGAACATACTAGTCGTGAAAGTACTTTCTTCGTTGAGGTTTAATGGCTTTCTTACTCTTACTCCTAACAAGTAGTAGAGACCCCGTGAATAAACTGTAGATGGCCACATGCAAGGGGTACTACACGCTGGGATCAGAGCAAGAGCTTTGTAAACACTCAAATGCTAACTGACCACATTGCCCGATGACCAAACCCACCTGCAGGTGTGGCTGTGTCTGAGGAGTGTGGGCCTGTAGGGTGCCTTCTATGGCTTATGTGCCTGTATGCACGTGTCTGTGCTTACGTCTTATCTGTGCACACATGCGAACGATGACACTTGTGTGTCCAGGGGGCTCCTTAGAGGCAAGGGTGGCCAGGCTTTCTCACATGCTTTGGACACATTGTCAGGAGAAAGGACAGCATGTTCTGTGAAGTGGAGCAGCAGCGTGAAAGAAGGCTCTCGATGAGATGGATGGACGGGGGGGCTCAGGCGCAGGACCCTCTGTGTGTTGTTTGCTGTGGGCCCGAGTGGACTTGACAGCACACCTGTCGGAGCAGGTGTCTGTGTGACCATGTGGTCTTCATTAGTCTTGTTTGGACTTGTGGCCATGTCACATAGGCCAGGTGCTTTAGTCCGGAGCTCTTTGCTCTCGGCCACCTCGTTAACCATGGTGGGTTGTACTCGCCACACGCACACTCGGGGCACTCTCCAAGGCCAGGAATACCGAGGATCCCCCACCTCCCTCCCTTCGACTCACCAGTGAACACTGGTCTCTGCCGGATCCACTCTTCTCTCTTCTCCCGTGTGGACATACTTCACCTCGCATTCTGCCCTCCAAATCCGTCGTGCTGGGTCACGTTTCTGGAACTCGCCATTGTTCTTGGTGGGGGGGTGTCTTCAGGACCTGGGTGGTGGGGTGTCGAGTGGTGGGATGTCCAGCCGGTGACTGAGGCCATCTGAGCCATTCTCTGGGTTTAGACGGGGGCCCTGCTCAGCGCCTTTGTCCAGCTGTGCCACATTTCCACAACGCTAGCCGAGAGGACGTGGGTCCAGCTCTTTCCCAGGCTCTGGAAGATTCTGTCCGACAGACAGCAGCATGTAAGTGTATGCGTAAACCCAGCCTGGGCTCGGCGCACGCGTTCATCGCACACTGGCGCTGCTAGTGCTTGCAGCGGCCAGGAGGTAGAAGGGGACCTAAGCTTCCCGCGAGAGCCATAGGGATGGATAGAAGGTGACGCTTTTGTACAATGGGAATGGCGTGGCCACACGGGGAAGAGAGGCCCCGTGGTGCCCCGGGAGGACATCATGCTGAGTGAGAGGAGCCCGACACAGATAGCTGTTGCATGAGTCCATGGGAAACAAGCTGTGAGTGTGGAGGTCCCTGGGGTGTCATTGTATAGGGGGCCTTCAGGGTCTGGGACTGCAGGCAGGATCATTTGGAACAGGATGATGGCTGCAAATTAATGTCGCCAAATTGTATGACAAAAAATTCCTGAATTGGCGGCAGTTTGCGTTTTACCGTAATTTTAAAAAGTAAATCCTACTTTGAGAAAAGGTGTAGAGCAAGCCTTTGAGAAGTATTTGTGAAGGAAAGCAGCCTTGATGGCTGTTGGCCCAGGGCCAGTTCCTGGAAGAAGTTCCCTCGAGTGGGGGTGGAAGGTGGGAGAGAAGAGGCCTTGCTCGTTGCCTGGGGGAGGGTCTAACTGCGTCGTGCCCCGCCAGGCGCTGGCTGGCGAGATCAGCCCGTTCCTGTGTAGCGGCAGCCACCAGGTGCAGCGCGACTGCCAGCCCAGCGCCCTGAACTGCTTTGTGGAAGCCATGTCCCAGTGTGTGCCCCCCATCCCCATCCGGCCCTGTGTGCTCAAGTACTTGGGGAAGACGCACAACCTGTGGTTCCGCTCCACACTGATGCTGGAGCACCAGGCCTTCGAGAAGGGGCTGAGCCTGCAGATCAAGCCGAAGCAGACGACGGAGTTCTATGAGCAGGAGAGCATCACCCCACCCCAGCAGGTGCCCCTGCCGTCCTCAGAGCCCCCCTTCCCTCCCTCCCTCCCTCCCCTTCCCTCCCGAGGGACGTGCCGGAGCAGGAACCTGGCCCTGTGTTTCAGGAGATCCTGGACTCGCTGGCCGAGCTGTACTCGCTGCTGCAGGAGGAAGACATGTGGGCCGGCCTGTGGCAGAAGCGGTGCAAGTACTCGGAGACGGCGACGGCCGTCGCCTATGAGCAGCACGGGTTTTTTGAGCAGGTGCAATGGCCAGCTGGTGGGCCGAGGGGCTGGTGGCCTGGGAGCCCCGCTGGGGTAGCATGTGCTCAGGGCAGGGCCCATGCTGAAACATCGGTCTGTTCGGTTTAAAGTGCTTCTGGGTGGGCCATGAAGATAGGACGGGCTCACCGCACAGGTCACCACAGCGAGGCAGCTGTCATGGTCAAGGGAGGCACCCAGTGCAGGTGGTGGTGCTGACAGGACACTGCCGTCGGTCCGGCGTGCCATAGCCTGCCGGGAAAGGGAGAGGTGGTGAGAGGACAGCCCATGCGGGCCTGCAGCCCGTCAGCTTGTGGGAACCCCGGGTGTGAGACTCAGATATAGCCATGTCCACCTGTGCGAGGGCTTCAAACAGATGGGAGGAAACCCGTTATCCTTCCATCCTGTTCCCTGCGCTGTGGGAAGCCCCTCACAGTCCAGGGATGAGGAGCTTGGTATGTTCCCTGGTTCTCTGGAGCTCACGCTGGAAGCCTCGCTTCGCTGCTGCTATGACAGGCCTGGTTGGCTCCATCTGGGCAGTGTTTAGGAGGGATGTTGACAGGGTCCTCCTTGTGTTCCTCCTGCCTGGGGTGTGTGGCCACGCTCAGACCTCCACACACCCAGCACCACTTCCATCCTGGCTGGGGACTCGTGCCTCCTCCTCACCGTCCCGTTTTCTGTTCCCTATCGCTGAGGGTCGAGGTGGTGGCTGCCTAAGCAGGCAGTGAGGCACTTGTCTGCACTGCCCGGTGTGGCCCCCCGTGCCCCTGGGGGACAGAGTAGGGCTGCCCGTGGCAGTGTGTGGGGGGACAAAAATGGGTTCCTGTACTTGATGCTGGATCGTGGGCTCGAAGACAAAGAAGTGGGGATGCAGGAGCCAAGCAACTGATCTCTTTGGAAAGGCCACACCAGGCCACACTAGTTAGAGCCCCGTGCTGAACCTGCAGTGCCACCGTCCTGTGGTCTGGCTGGTTGGGAATGGTTTGTCCAGCGGGAAGGCGAGGAAGCAAGTGGGAGTGCTGCTCGGTGCCGGCGCTGGGCTGAAGAGTCCTCATGTCTCAGGCCCAGGAATCCTACGAGAAGGCCATGGACAAGGCCAAAAAGGAGCACGAGCGGAGTAGTGCGTCCCCTGCCCTCTTCCCTGAGTACCAGCTCTGGGAGGACCACTGGATCCGGTGAGCCTGGTGGGACGGGGTTGGGGCAGCAGCCCCGGAAAGGGCTTGTCTCCGTGGCAGGCACTCTCTTCTCTGGAAAAGAGATACGGTGCTCTCGCTCCTGGGGTCCACTGAGCTCTGTCCTTCCTCCCGCTTTGCAGGTGCTCGAAAGAGCTGAACCAATGGGAGGCCCTGACAGAGTACGGCCAGTCGAAGGGCCACATCAACCCCTACCTGGTCCTTGAGTGTGCCTGGCGGGTCTCCAACTGGACCGCCATGAAGGAGGCGCTGGTGCAGGTGAGGCTCCGCCCCATTCTCGGGATGCATGTCCACATCAGGAGCTCACAGAACACCTTCCCCTCTGAACTGGCCACTCCCAAAGTGGGGCCAGGTCTCGGTGGCACCCGCGCTTCCTGCTTTGGGGGCTTCCTTTGTGATGTCCCCCGTCCTGGTGTGTCTCCTCTCCCCCAGGTGGAAGTCAGCTGTCCCAAGGAGATGGCCTGGAAGGTGAACATGTACCGAGGCTACCTGGCCATCTGCCACCCCGAGGAGCAGCAGCTCAGCTTCATCGAGCGGCTGGTGGAGATGGCCAGCAGCTTGGCCATTCGGGAGTGGCGGCGGCTGCCTCACGTGGTGTCCCACGTGCACACGCCCCTCCTCCAGGTGAGGCCCCCACGGGAGCAGTGCCTCCAGGCTAGTCTTTGGGGAAAGGCAGGCAGGAGCCCAGAAATAAACCTGCCATGTCGAGGTCCTAGGGAACCATTGAGTGGTGCTTGCTCTGGCGGCTTGTTGTAGCGCCCTGTGTACCACCGTCCAGAGTCAGGGGGATCCGCTTCCCTATCCTTGAGACCCCTGTGGGGTACAGTTCAGTGTTGACACACATGGGGGCGCCCTAGGTCAGAGTGAACCCCGTGTGTGTGTGTGTGTGTGGGGGGCTGGTTCACAGGAACTCCAAGATTACCTACTTCCTTCTCCTTGCGGCATCATCATTGTCCCCACAGTGCCCTGCTCCCCCACAGAGGCCCCCACTCTGCAGCTAGAATCCAAGAGCAGCTATGGCCACAGGCTGGTGTCAGCAAGAACCTGATGGGGCTCGTATGCCAGCCCCAGAAGGCCCCTGGGTGGCCCCAGTGGTTTGCAATCAGCTACTGACCTAAAAGTTGGCAATGTAAACCCACATGGCGGTGCTGTGGGAGAAAGGCCTGGCAATCTGTCGTAAAGATTACGGCCCCGCGGTGCTGTGGATCAGCATCGACTCCCTGGCAGGGTTCAAGGTGCTGCACGTGGCTGTGGTGGAGGGGTTGAGGCTGGTCTGATCCACCACTAGTGGTTTGGGAGGGGGTGCTGCCCATTAGCAAGATGAGGGACCTGCACCACCCATCGTCTCCCACCTCTGGGCAGTCCTAGCTGGGTGGTAAGTGGGAGGAGTGTGGGTGAGTGCAGAGAGGTGTCTAAGGTGTGCATGGGAATGAGGCAGGAGCAGCAGGCCTACTTGGCCATCAGGTTCCCATTGGCCCTGCCATCTGCCATCTTCATATGAAGGCTGGTGCTGGAGGTCCTCCCCTAATCCCCACACACACCACATTCCCATCTAGGCCGCTCAGCAGATCATTGAGCTCCAGGAGGCGGCCCAGATCAACGCCGGCCTGCAGCCCAACAACCTGGGCCGCAACAACAGCCTCCACGACATGAAGACGGTGGTGAAGACCTGGCGCAACAGGCTGCCCATCGTCTCGGACGACCTGTCCCACTGGAGCAGCATCTTCATGTGGCGGCAGCACCACTACCAAGGTGAGCTGGGCCCAGGCTGGCAGTCTGCTCGTCCACGGCCCAGTTGATCGAGGCCAGTGGTTCTCAACCTTCCTCATGCCGCCACCCTTGAGCGCGGTTCCTCATGTGGTGGTGACCCCCCCAACCATGAAATTACTTCATCACTAATTTTGCTACCGTTATGAATCAGGCGACCCCTGTGAAAACGTCTCTTTTGAGAACAACCTTTTCACAGGGGTTGCAACCCACAGGTTGAGAACCGAGGGTCCAGGCAAAACAAGGGCTCCGGGAGCTGTCCGTGGGCAGCGGGTGCAGAGCAGGGTTGATGGCACCTTGGTTTGAAGCTCCCTCCAGCACTCCCCGGAGCAGTTGCTCTTGGGCGGCTCCCTTCAGCCTTTCCCCATCTCCTCCCGCCCCCAGTCCCAGTCCCGGCGAGCTGCGGGCATCTGTTATGTGTGTGTGCGTGCCCCAGCGTTCGCCACTTGGTTTACTAGCCAAGAGGGTTGTGCTGAACTCCGTGGTCTCTATGCAGTATACTTTCCCATGCTAGCCCCAAGGGAGGGGCAGGGTTGGTCCCGGCACGGCCTGTGTTTGTCGTCGTTACACCTTACCGCAGGCGTCCTCAAACTGCGGCCCGCCGAGGACATTTATCTGGCCCACCGGGTGTTTTTGCCCTGTTTTTTTTTTTACTTCAAAATAAGATATGTGCAGTGTGCATAAGAATTTTTTTATAGTTTTTTTTTTTAAACTATAGTCTGGCCCTCCAACGGGTATGAGGGACAGTGAACTGGCCCCCTGTTTAAAAAGTTTGAGGAGCCCTGCGAGTCTATGGGGTGGCCAC